TGCGTAGGACTCAAATTTCCTGGCGGAGATCAAGGCCCCGCCCCGGCCGCCCTAGGCCTGCGCCCTCCCGGCTCCGACGCGCGGACCTCGCCCGGAGTTCCTGGAACCGGGTAAACCGGTCCGGGTGCTACTTCTGTGGCCCGGCCCTTTCCCAGCTTTGCGGAGGCTTTAGCGGGGCGCCTGTCCCTTAGGTCCTGCGGAGGGGAGAGTGGAGGGGGTCTGGGATGGCCGGCACGACTAGAGCTGCCCCTTACTTGCTCTCCTGCAGGGCAATCCTTTCTGGCCTCAGTTCCCCGATCCGTAAAAAGTGGAGTTAAAAGGACCAGTCTCACCTGAGAGCTGCAAATGAATCATTCATTCACAAAAACCACTTAGTAAGCACCTGCTAGAGTCCCATGGCGACCACAGGCCAGAAGAGGAGACAAACCCAGAAAGGAATATAAAATTCCAAGTGTGATGTTGGGGAGGGGGGGCTCTTGATCTCAGCGTCAGTAAACAAAGATCTTGGGCCAAAACAGAGGGCATTTGTAGCTTTGTCTCTCTTCCAGAAGCAGAATTTTTCCTAACTCTGGAAAGGTGGCCGGAGTGATTCACTGATATTTAAATAGAAGAACGAATCCCTTAATGTCTCTCTTTTCAGCTTTTAGCCTTCACCGAGTCTTCGGACTAAAAATAGGCCTTTTTCTATCTCCTGTGGTAATACTTTGTCTCTACCTTTGCTAATCTCTGTCCCTAATTAGGAAAGCTACCTGGACCCTCATACTGGCTATTGTTTCAGCAGAATCTTGGGACATTGCTTTGTTTTCACTGTAACTTTTATTAACTGGTACCTTCTAAGTGTGGTTAGTGATTAACAAGTGGGTTACGGTCAGAAACATTTTTAGATAAATAATACTAAAGCTGTGATGTAGATAATGACAAAATTCCTGACCAGTAATTGTCTGAAAATTGGGAAATTCTATTCTAAGAGTCATAAGAAGCCACTGATTAAACAAGGCAGTAAATACTATGCACTTAGCACTTGCTTACCCCAGAGAACCTCGTTCACTCTTTCAGGCTCCGGGGTTGTGCAAGGAATGAACATATGAATGAGGACACAGATGCTAACTAGAACATTCATTTACCCTTTCAGACAGTGAGTGGTGTTTTAAGGAAGGCTGAGAAGAGGGGTCAAGGGGCTGAGTGGCAGAGTGGGGAGCTATTTTAGATCGGGTGGCCAAAGAAGGCCTCTCCCAGGAAGTGACATTTCCACAGAAATCTGAACAAAATCCGAATGGATGTTCGGGAGAAGAGCATTGCAAACAGAAGGGACAGCACGTGCAAAGGCCCTGGGCTGGAACATGCCTGGCCTGTTTTCCAAGCAGAAAAGAGGCCACTGTGGATGGAGGGGAGGGGAGCTGGAGAGTGAAATTATCCAACTGGCATTTTATAAGATCTGTGTGGCTGCCGCGTAGGATAGATTGTGGGGGCAAGAGCGGGGGCGGGAGGGGAGCTGAGCCACCGCCCCCATCCAGGTGAGAGGAAATAGCAGCTCACAGGAAGATGGGAACCAGAAGCTGGGGAAAGTGGAGTGCGATGAGAGGTCAAGGTGACAGCAACCTGTGACTGGGTGCCATGGGAGGGGAGGAGGAAAAGGAATCCAGGGAAGATTCCTCAGATGGGAGGCAGCTGGGAAACAGCAAGATTTCTCTTTAGGTCCTGTTTGGTTTGGAACACCTGAGTCTCCCACCAAGGAGACATGGGGAGGGGCCTTGGACAGAAAGCCAGGGCGTGGGGGAGGGGGTCCAGGAGACAGAGAGAGGCCAGGGGCTTGAGGTGGGGAGAAGCCAGAAGTGTGGAGGCCTGGAGGAGGGAAGAGTCAACCCGATCAAATCACTGGGATGAGACCAAACTCGAGCTGAGACGGAACGCTGACCCTCCTTCACACCGAGCTATTGGAGACAGGAACTATTTTTCCAGCCCTCTGGGATTAGCACAGAATCTGTGCACATATTCCCATCCATATATGTCTGTATTGCTGTATGTGCTTTTATTTTTTAATGTTTATTTTTGAGACAGAGAATGAGCAGGGCGGAGGCAGAGAGAGAAACGCAGAATCTGAAGTGGGTTCCAGGTTCCAATATGACGCGGGGCTCAAACTCACAAACCGCAAGATCAGACGCGTAACCGGCTGAGCCACCCAGGCGCCCCTGTACGTGCTTTTAAATGGCCGGCACCTGAGTTCTACCAATAATAAAATAACCACACTCCCGGTGTGCCAGGCATCCCACAAGGCATTTTTTTTTTAATGTTTTATTTATTTCTAGGAGAGAGAGAGACAGCGTGAGCAGGGGAGGGTCAGAGAAAGAGGGAGTCACAGACTGAAATAGGCTCCAGGCTCCGAGCTGGCAGTCAGCACAGAGCCCGACGCGGGGCTCGAACCCATGAACCGCGAGATCATGACCTAAGCGAAAGTCGGACGCTTAACCGACTAAGCCACCCAGGCGCCCCCCACTAGGCATTTTATATGTATTATCTCACTTAACCTTTGCCATGAACCCGAGTCGTAGGGACTATTATTGTCCACAGTTTACAGCCAGGGAAACTGAGGCCCAGAGAGGCGAAGCAACTGGCTGTACAGACACAGCTACACAGCAAGCAGGTAGAGCTGGTGGTCTGGCTCCAGAATCTGTGTTCTGACCCCACAAAGTCTGCCGCCGGCCTTGGTCGCTCAGCATCATGGTTCTGAGCCATCGGGGTTGCCCAAGAGTGTAGATCCATCCCAGGTCAGGCCATTTATTCTCTGGGGACGCACGGATGCTACCAGACCAGTCAGGTTAGAGGGGCAGGTAGGATGTTTCCAGTCTGTACCATGGGTAACATTCTAGGGAACACCCTTCTGGAGCCTCCTGCTGCAGGCCTGAGGCTCCCCAGGGAATCCACAGGTCAAGGGACCTGTGACATTTTTTTTTTTTTTTACAAATAGTTTATTGTCAAATTAGTTTCCACATAACACCCAGTGCTCATCCCCACAAGTGCCCTCTTCCATGCCCATCCCCCCTCCCCCCCACATCCATCAGTCTTCAGTTTTTGTCAGCATTCAAGAGTCTCTCATGGTTTGCCTCTCTCCCTTTCCCCCACCATTTCCCCCCTTCTTCTCCCCCTTGTTCCTCACTTAAGTTCCTCCTAATCCTCCTATACGTGCAAACATATGATATTTGTCCTTCTCTGCCTGACTTATTTCGCTCAGCATAACACCCTCAAGATCCATCCATGTTGCTACACGTGGCCAGATGTCATTCTTTCTCATTGCCATGTAGTATTCCATCGTATAGATAATCCACATCTTCTTGATCCATTCGTCCATTGATGAAAACTTAGGCTCTTTCCATGTTTTAGCTCTTGTGTAGAGTGCTGCTATGAACATTGGACCTGTGACATTTTTAGTTGTCACAACTATCTTTCCATGAATTACTCCCCCAGAGGGCCTATCCCAATGATCCCATGCCATGTAATGGTGTGAAAACACCAGACCTCATCAGAGTCGGTTATTGTGACCAACATTCAACGTTGCCTATTTAAAGGGTGGCATGGGGTCTTGGGAAGGGGGATATATTAAAGGGAGGTGTGTGTATGTGGGGTTGCGGGGGGGGGGGGGGCGTCTCCTGTCTCCCACCACCTCATCCCCAGCCTCCAGCCCGGAAGCCCCCGGGAGGCAGGGCGGAGATCGACCTGACCGCTTCCTGGGAGGAAGGAAGGGCCGGGAGGTTCCTGCCACTAGAAGCGCAGCGAGGCCCCTCCCCAGCCGCCGGGGACTTCCCGGGGCGGGCCAGGTTCTCAGGGGAGCTGCTCCCACGCGGACGCATTGAACTGCCGCTGGGGTGTGGGTCTCCAGTCCCCCCCCCCGACGTCGCACTGGGGAGTTAGGGGGTTAGGGGTCAGGACCCCGAGTGGGTGGCGCTAAAGTCTCCCCTGTGTGCCAGGAAAAGAATCAGGTGGCCGCGGAGGCGAGCGAGGCTGGATTCCCCTGGGGGAACCCGGAGGGAGGCGGGGAGCGGGGCGGGTGGACGAGGCTGGAGGGGAGCCGGAGACGGGAGTTCTGGGGCGGGCCCGCCTCCCCTCCATCTCACCCTCCTCCTTCCACCCTGCGGCCTCGGGGTCAGGTCCCCCGGGGTCGCGGGAAGCTCGCAGAGCCGGAGCCAGCCGGCTGGAGGCGGGGCGGCCGCTTTCCCGGCGCCTCCCGCCGCCCTCCCTGCCCGCACCTGCGGCTCCTTTGTCCTCCTAACTGCCACCCCGCCACCCGCCCTGCGGCAACGCCTCGCAGCCCCTCTCCTAAATCAGCATTAGATAAAATTATGAGCGTTTTCCCCTCTGGGGTGACTAAAGTGGAGCTGAGATGGAGCCAGCGCAAATAACTTGGGCTCTCAGGGGGTTATTTCTAAATCTACAGCCGCCTTTCGGGGACGCTGTTTAGAGGCCCACTTCACAGATGGGGAAACTGAGGCTGGGAACTCCCCTCCCAGTCTGAGTCACAAAATCATGCCGCCAGAGATAAGAACAAGGAATAAAGGGCGCCCCAAAGCTCACAGGGAACCCCGCCAGAGCTGTTCAGTTGGTTGAGTGGAGTGTGGGGGGTGTGAGATCTTCCGATGCCTCCAAAGGAGGCGTGGCCTTCCCAAGTCCGCTTGGGGCACTGTACCCATCAGATTTCCCCTCAAACATCCGAACTAGTTAAACCCTCTTCCCTCCCCGCCCCCGATGCCCCTCCTTCTCCGCCAGCCCCGAGCTGCGGGATTTTGATGGAACCAAATATGGGGGGAGCTCAAGGAGCCAGAACAGCAGAGAACTCCGCACGGAAACGCTCTGGCAAAGAAAATGGGGCCCAGCCCCATCCCGCCCACTCTGCCCACGTGATAGCCGGTCAGACCGGTTTCTGGGGCCCCAGCGAGCCGCCGCCAGCGCCTGACCCCTTAACCCTGCCCCTCCCCCACCAGGGAAGAAAACCAGACGGGCAGCACAGGCTTTATTCAAATGGTCTTTATTTTCCTATCTGGCGTTTCTAGCGAGAAGCCAGATAGATGAAATTAAACAGAATCCGCCACAGTAAAGGTAAACAGACCTCAGCACGCTCTGGCAAGAATCTTCCCCCTTCCCAAACTGGCCCAGTCTCACCAGCAACTGGTCCCAGTTCCCCCAAACACCCCCACCCAGTTTTGTGATTCAGACCAGGATCCGTGAGTCTGAGGGACGGTCACGCTGGAGACTGTGAACGTATTACCACCTCGAACGCCCCAGACGAGGAAGATTTTAACCTGAAATTAGATCGGCCCCCACCTTGCCCCTGCTATACACCCGAAGGCGCAGGGGCGCGGGGCGAGGTGACTCAGGACGCCCTCCTCCCATTCCCCAGGGCGGTCCACACCCCAGACCCTCCTCCCAGGCCCCACACCCACGCAAGGCAACAGGAAGCTCCCCACGTCTGCCCCATGACGCAACGATGACCGCTTGCACAAGTATGTCACTGGTGGGGGAAGGGAGCGGCTGCCTGGAATTCTCTGAGGTTGGAAATGCAAACACCAACTATTGAAAAACCTTGAAAGGGCAGCACAGCTCCCAGTAAAAAAATAAAGTCCGACCCTGAGGAGTTTAAAGAACCAAGCCTCCCTGCTCCCAGTCCCATAAGGAGAGGGAAAGGTCCACGTCCCAGTCCGTTAAGACAGCACCTGTGGGCGCAGCAGGTCTCGGCGGAAGGCGCTCGCGCTCCCCGCTCAGGCTCCTCGGCGCCGCCGCTGGGCACAGGCGGCGACGGCTCCCCGGGGGCAGAGTCCCTCTTCAGGCCTCTCAACAGCCCGGGCGGCAGCTCCTCTCCACGGTTTCAGCGGGCGCTCCCCCGGGGGTGGGCCCCGCCTCGGGTGTGCGCACTCCGGCCGACGGTTCGGCCCGCGCTCTGGGCTCCCGTAGCGCCGCTCGGGGACCCTCAGAAGGCCACCACGGCCCGCACGAGCACGTTCAGCATGCTGTCCGCGGGGCGGCAGGCAGGCTTCGTCTCGCATGCCGGCGGCGCCGTCGGGGGGGCGGCGGGGCTGCAGTTCAGGAGGCCAGAGAAGCGCCTCTGTAGGACGCGCGCCAGGTTGGGGAAGGCGCCCTCCGCTTGCGCGGGAGGTGGCTGCAGGCGATCGGGGACCTCCGAAGAGGCTCCTTCCTCCTCCTCTCCTTCTAGACGGGCTTTCTTGCTTGGGACCAGTCCGACGTCCCCGCCGTCACTTAGGCTGCTGCTCCGCCGCTTGCGGCTGACTTTGGTGGGGCGCGGGGCACAGGGGGCTGGGGTCTCCTCGGCTCGCGGTGCCTCCCGCGTGTCCATGGGCTCCGGGGAAGGCTGCTCACCGTCGGGGGGCGCTGCCTCGGATACAGCTTCCGCTTCCCGCAACTGGTGCAGGCGAGGATCAGGGGAGCGCACGGGCGGCAAGGGCACCTCGGACTCGTGGGCTTCCACCTTGGCTGAGAGGTAGAGCTCTCGCGCGCTGCGCATGACCAGCGACAACTGTAGACTCCGGTGCAGCCGCAGGCCACCGCGCTGCATGCGCGAATGGTACATCTTCCACACCGACAGGGTCATGATACGTTGCGCCTCCTTCTGCACCTCCATGGCGGCTAGACGGCAGGGGCTCCCTGGCTGGGCAGGACAGGTAGCAGGTGCACTCCGGGCTACGCGCTCGTTCACGCTTCTCCCCTCACGCCAGCCCACGCTGTGACACTGCTCGGACGCTCTACCGCGGCGCCCGCCACCCGGGCCCTTTTGTACCCGGAGTGAAGTCACGGAGACGCCCCGCCCAATCAGAGAGCCGCATCCGGGCTTCCCAACGCACCGCGGCGAGAGACTCCTTAAAGCGACAGGGTGGAATTTACCGAGGCGGGAGAAGGGACGGGAGTCGGGGCGTTGAGGAGCCTTCCTTAGTCCACGCAGAGCTCTCCGGGTGGTCCCCTTTCTCAGGACCCTCAATGCGCGGGCGCGCGGGCCCAGAAGAGCAGGGTGGCGGATGGGGATCAGAGTCCACCCACGTGCTTGCGTTTGAAGCCCCAGTGGTTTGTAGGTGGCAAGTTTCCCTTCGCACCGGGGAAGACCGGGGTTCGAACCAGTGCTTTCCCCCGTGGGCACAGTTCCTAGGAGCTACTAGGTGTCTAGTTAATGCTTTTTGAATCGGTAACCAATTAACATTTCTTGAATCAGTAACCGTGCTAACGCTTACTAATCACTTACCACCCGTCGGGCGCTGTTAAGGGTTTTCCTTTACTAAATACCAGCTTGATGCCTCGCCTCCACTCCGCGGAGGGTATGCTATACCTGATTTCTTCAGCTGGGGAAATCGAGACAGAGTGACTTGTCCAGTATTTCCACTGCCCCGAAACGGGGCCACTGGGGGGCTCCAGCTCTTGGGTCTTTCTAGCGTAAGCCAGCCCTCCTCACTCCCCTTCTCTGTAGGCAGTAAGGAGGCGGGCAGCAAGGGCTGGCACCGGGGCAGAGCTGCCCACTCCACGTGCATCGGATGTCTGCAGACACGAGCGCAGCCCGGCGTGCCATTCCTGCGCTCCACATCGAACACCCACCCCCGCACTTTCCCTCACTCGAGCTCCACGGGTGTCCTGCGTGCTCGCAGGACAGAGGACCCGGCAACAGGACAGTCCTGGTGAACACGTGGCTGCGCCCCTTAGGCAACACGGCCCTGCTCCGCCCCTGCGCCCAGGAAGCGTGGTTCGGGTAGGAGCTGTAAACCGAGCAACGCAGAGAGAGCGTGATAGATAGAAAACATCGGCCCCACCCTCCGCTACGCCTTATTGCTCCAGTCCTTCCAAAACAAGATGCAAAATTGTTCTTAAAGCTCCATTCATTCGTGGCAAGGGCCCTTTAAGGGCAGGTTCGTCTCTCCCCCTCCCCCCGGCGCCGACCAGCGAGCAGAGTCTTCCGGCCACTGGAAGCGCCAGACTAAATTTGGATATAATGACGTAGGGCAGGCGCGCGAGCCGCTTCCGGCTGCCCATATAAGGACAGGGGCCGGGATCTCCACTCTGAGCCGTGGCAGCCTCCTTCCGGGCGGGCGGGCGGGGGCGGTGACTTGGCCTCGGAACACGCCCCCTTCCCTTCCCTCCCCCTCTCCCGGCCGCTAAGGATGGCTGTTAAGTCCCTGGCTTCCGGACCAGAGTTTAGCGGGGCGGGCGGGGAAGGAGGGGAAGGTTTCGCTTCCTGCCCTCCGGTGGCCCAGAAGGCGTGGCGCCTCTCTGGGAAGCCCCCCGCCGGCAGGTAGGGACGATCTCTGGGCTTCCACTGACGCCATCGCCCAGAGACCCTCCCCAAAGACCTTGCTAACGCAAGGGGCGATTCGCTGAGGACCCACTCGTTCCTGTTCCCCCATTGGAGACCCACACAATTATTTCTCCCTACCAGGTTCTCTCCCAAGTGTTCCTTCTCCTCCCCCAATCATGCACCCTTGGAGAACCCCACGCCCCGCCTCCCTACCCCCTGCACCTAAGGGCTCAACAATTATTTTATTTTCTTAAAGACCCCTCCAAAAACTGTCTCTAGTCATCGATCATGCCGCACACGACGGCGACCCGCTGAGGACGCCCCAATCTCCCCCGGGGCCCCCATGGCGAATCGACAAGGACATCCCCAGCCCAGGCGCTGTCTCTGAGACTGCGAAGCGACTCCGAAACGCAGGGGCACATAGACTCTTCAAGAACTTCACACATCCTGCCCAGATTTCTCCAGAGACAGACCAGGACTTCACTCAGGTGATGGCTTTCCCCCAAAAAAGACTGCTTTAACGGAGGAGACTCTGTCAGACAGAGCGCCTCTGTCACACAGGGGTCCGCCCTAAGTCTCCAGACATTCCTGGCCCCTCCCCAGACGGAGACCCCACACACCGAGAACTTCCTTGTATACAGCATCCTCAGAGCCACCACCACGCCCCCTTTTCCCGACCGCTAGCCTCGCACTCGGAAAGAGCCCACACCCCAGAAGCATCGCTTGGGGCTCCCACTCAACAGCCACTCCGCCCCAGGGCGATCTTGGGGCGCCCTCCTCCGTAGGACAAAAGAGGAGGGGCAGTCCAACAAGACTCTGCACCGGAGAATGCTCGCACCTCACTCCACCTCCTGGGGGAAAGTAGGGGAGGACCACCTCTTCCCCCCACCCCTTCCCAACCCTGGGCTGGGACGATCTCCTAGGACAGGATCAAGGTGCAGGCTCAGCAAGTCTGTTAAGAGCATCTACAAATTGGGGGCGCCTGGGTGGCTCAGTCGGTTAAACATTAGACTTCTGCTGGGGTCGTGGTTTTGGCGGGTCGGGGGCTCGAGCCCCGCGTTGGGCTCTCTGCTGTCAGCGTGGAGCCCGCTTGGGATCCTCTGTCCCCGCCATCACTCTCTGCTCCTCCCCTGCTCTTGCTGTCTCAAGAATAAACAAACATTAAAAAAAAAAAAGAGGATCTACCAATCGAATGATCCCCTTCCCCAGTCATAACCTCCTCAGATTTGAAGGTTATTATTATTCACATTGTCCAAAAGGGAAACTGAGGTTGCTGCAACAACGATCCCGAAGGGCTGGGTCTCCAACGGAGAGTTGACGAGCTCCGACCCCCAGATTTAACTGGGACACTGCTGGGGGCGGGCGCGGAGAGCTCGGAGAACGCGAAGCTGTCTCTGCCCACAATAAAGATGGCTGTGAAAAGGGCGGAAGTGCGGGCCTCCGAGGCCTCTCTCTCTCCCCTGTCGTCCGGGTTCTCGATGGTGGTACGGATCACGTGACGGGGGCGGGGGTGGCGGGGCGCTTTCCCCTCTGCTGGGAGGGAACCCTCTACCAAAGCCGAGGGGAGGGGGGCTTGGCCTCGGGCGGGGTGTGTGTGACATGTCTCTCGAAGACCCATTTTTTGTTGTCCGAGGGTGAGTGACAGCAATGGGGGAGAGAAGAGGGTGCTCGGTCCCCCCGCTGGCTAGTGCCCGCGTGCCCGGCAGAGCGTGCTGGGCAGTTTGGCACGGCCGTCGGGGTGCGCGGGCCAGGGTCGATCCGTGGCCGAGTGGGATGGGTGCTCAGGGTGTCCTGAGCCCTCACTCGTCTGCGGGCGCAGTGGCCGGCGGGGAGGACCGCCTGCCCCCAGCCGTGACTGCTGTGTGTGCCCCTGCCCGGCAGCGAGGTGCAGAAGGCGGTGAACACGGCCCGCGGGCTGTACCAGCGCTGGTGCGAGCTCCTGCAAGAGCACGCGGGGGTCGGACGCGAGGAGCTGGACTGGACGACCAATGAGCTGCGGAATGGCCTGCGCAGCATCGAGTGGGACCTCGAGGACCTGGAGGAGACCATCGATATCCTGGGGGGTTGCAAGGCGTCCTAGGAGAGCCTATTGCTGTGGCGGGGGGGGGGGGGAGCCGCACACCTGGGAGGAGTTGAGGGCTTGAGGCAGAGGAGGGGGTCATGTCTGGCTTTGGCCTTGACCCTTGACTCGCGACTTACGCATCGTGGAAGCCAACCCAGGAAAGTTCAAGCTCGCGGCCGGAGACCTGCAGGAGAGAAAGGTGTTCGTGGAGCGGATGCGGGAGGCAGTCCAGGTGAGGAGAGTTTCCGGCGGTGGCTCCAGTGTGGGGAGGTTGGAGGGTCTTTACTCTCTGACCGCGTCCTCACCCCCAGGATATGAAGGACCATATGGTCAGCCCGGCAGCCATAGCCTTCATGGAGAGGAATAGTAGAGAGGTAAGGCATCCAGACCCAACGCCCGAGCCCAAGCCCAGCCCCTCTGTGTGTGTTCACTTGTCTCCCTTGCACGTTTGGTCTGTCCCTTGCGTGTCAGTACCCATCTTCTGTGAGCAGTTGGCTCCTGGCTGTGTACCTGCCTGCCCTTTCTGGGGGCGCATCCCCGACCCCTCTGTGTGCATAATCCTTTCTGCCTCCTGGTGTGGGTCTATACGCCTGTCTCCTTTTTTTCTTGGTGTGTTACTGTTTCCAGGATGTATGCCTACCTTTTTTTCTGTGTCTGTACCTGGCACTTCTGAGCCTGTGAACTTGGCCTCTGAGTAGATCTCCATCTGCAGCCGGCTTGCATGCTATTTCCCTCCGTGGGTGTGCCTGCTCGTGACTTTTGTGTCCAATCCCCCAGCTGCCTCTGTTGGTACTTTTGTTCTTCTGTGTGTCCGTCCAGCCTGTCTCCATCCCGTCATGGGATCCCCGTGTGGGAACTGGGAGGGTGGTGCGGGGGTGGGCGGGGGGGGGGGTGGAGCTGGGACCTGTAGCAGTCCCCACCGGCTTCCCAGGTGTGCTACCCTGAGAATGGCATTCCAAATTCTTAAATACATCTCTTTATATGATGAGTCCACCATGGATATGGGAAATCCGCATTCCAGCCCCAGCAATTTCCCCATTTTACAGATGAGGAAACTGAGGCATAGGGAGGTCAGTTGATAGGACCTTGGGGTCGCCTTGTTAGTACGTGGTGGGCTTGGGGAACCCAGGCTATCCCATTCCTGAGACTACCTTCTTGAGTAACTGCCGTCTGTGTCTGGCTTTGCCGTGAGAGGCCCTGTCTCCCTGAACCTGTGGTTGTGTCCCCATAGATGCTGACGGGCAAGCCAGCTGCCCAAAAGTCATCCGGCGACCTGCTGGACGCCAGCATGGCCTCAGCCACCTCTCGTTACATTGAGGAACAACAGGCCACACAGCAGGTTCGTGCGGGTGGTTGGGGGATCCCAGGCTGGGGGAACCGCTCAGGCCCCCCCATCCCCCTCCCTGCTGACAGCATTTCCCACGCCTCCAACCTGCAGCTGATCATGGACCAACAGGATCAACAGCTGGAAATGGTGTCTGGGAGCATCCGGGTTCTGAAGCACATGTCGGGCCGTGTCGGGGAGGAGCTGGATGAACAGGGCATGTGAGGCCAGGATTCTGGGNGGAAATTCAGTTCGGTGAACAAAGATTATTTCGAGCACTGACTACACACCATTGCGAACAAGAGAGACACGGCCCCCCCAGCGCGTAGCCTACAGGGGGGGGGGGGGGGGGCGGGCTGGGCGCCCTCAGCGGGCCGCGCTCATGTGCCCAGAACTTTTGGAGGCGAATGCCATCTTGGTATCAACA